AAACCTTACTTAGGCATAAAGCACAGCTGCAGGCAAAGTTGGCAGCTGCTGAGTGATGAAATTAGCTTCCTAAGAAACTAATGAAGCTGATTCCCGTTTTCTAGGGCAATGCATTTGGGTATGAGCAAGAACAGGATTGGGGGCCATGTAGGATCCATATCAACCCCAGAGTCTGGAGGACAACAAGCCCCAAATACCATACCTTTAGCACTACAGCACAGATCCTTGCTGCCCTTGAGTTGCAGGGCTGATAGTAGCATTCACTTCTGTCCCGCCAAGATTTGAGGTGGCCTCTCTGGCAGTCTGAGCCCCAGGATGCATCTAGTGTGGAACTTGGCAATAGCACAATGTACTATCCATGCCTTATATACTGTTCCTATAAGGCATGGGTGGGCAATTATTTGGGGGCAGGGCTGCTTACTGAGTTTTGGCAGCATTGAGGGCCGCATGACAGGCAGCCAGGGGCAGATGTATATTAATTTTCTAAATTTTTTAGGAGCCCCACAGGCTGGATAGAAAGGCCTGGTGGGCTGCATTTGGCCCATGGGCCGTATTTTGCCCACCTCTGCTATAAGGTGTGATGGCACATAGCCATTTGGGCTCCTGTGTTAATGGCAGGGGCAGCAGTAGAGGAAACTTGAATGCACATTGATACTTTGCTGCCTGGCCCCGTGCTGGTCTCACTCAAAGCGTATAGTAGGACTTTTGCATAGGGCATTTTGTGGATGAGCTGGGCGGGCAGGATCAGAGGAGATGCTCTTGTAAACCCTTGTGGAAACCTGTGAACACAGGGGGTAGCCCAAGAAGTCCATTCCACTCCTATGTTCCTTGGTTCCTGTAGTTCAGGGGTGACAAGCTCACCCCGGGCTGGATCCAGACTGTAGGGGCTCCTCCTTGGCCAGATCTAGACTGCAGGGAGGGCTCCCAGGCTGGGTCATTGAGGCCACACTTGGGAGGTAGTGTGGGTCTGGGTGGGAGTGTGGATCTGGGGACTTGTGGCTGCATGAAATTGCATTTGGGCAGCACAGAGCCAGGGACACAAGCCGGTGGGTGTGGCAGTGCCAAGCTCTGGATGGATAGTGGCGGGGTTCAGGAAGCAGCTTGGAGCTGGAGCCAGGGGCATGCAGTGTCATGACTATGGGCAGCAGCCTCCTGGATCCACGCCGCCTCCTGATGACAGCTCTGTGCAGCTTCATGCCCTGTGCCTGCCCAGCCAGAGCTCTTTCCCACATGCCTCTGGCTTCTTGCTGGCATATGCCCCTGGTTTATGCTGCCCAAACATGACTCTATGCCAGTGCATCCACCTGGCACTGCTGACCAGGTGGACTTCCATGCTGCTGCCTGACTGGCTCCATGCAGCCACATGTCCGTGTCTCTGTGTACTGCCTGGTGATGCAGAGCTCTGGCCAAGAAGCCACACAGAGTTATGTGACTGCACAGAGACACTTTTGGGTGGCAGTATGGAGCTGGGGGGCTGTTACCAGTATTCATATCGACTCGGGCCCAGGCTTCCTGAATCCTGCTCCACTGCGCTCCTGGTAGCTCACCCGTAGGCCAGAAGGGGTGATTCCACAGGCTGGATCCAGCCTGTGGGCCACATGTTTGACACCTCTGCTATAGTTCATACTCAACTAGCCATGGAAATATCAGGAAACGTGATTGTTAGCAGGGCAAGTCAGGCATTAATGGCAGGTAAAGAAAGCAGCAGTTAGGAAAAGCCTCATTACTAAGCTGTTTATAGGAGCTGGGACAGTCGAATGGCAGGTATGTGGTCAAGTGTAGTGAGCATGGGAGGTGCACACAGGGAAAATCTGTTTGCTCCAGTGGCTGTGAGGCTGTCCAAAAGCAAATGCAATCTCTTGGATTGCCTGGCTCATCTCCAGGACTGATTTAGGGTCTTGTTACACCTTACACTCTAAGCTGCACAAGTGTTAATCGGCTTAGTGTTGTTCAGTTTAGTGGAGCAGTCACACCTTCAGGCAAAAAAACCATCCCTAATATGCCCTGCACCTGCACAACTGTGACTTGCTACTACAGGCTTGTTGAGCAGGGGCAGGGCTAGGAGCCTATGGAAAAAGGGGCCTGATCCTTTTTTTCCTCCGGAGCTTTCCCCTTGCACCGCTGCTGGTCAGGTGCTGCCTGAACTCCGAGGGGAACAATTCTTTTTTCCTCTGGAGCTCATCCCCTCCCTACTCCCTGTGCCACTGCTGGCAGGAGCAGCAAGTTGGTCCAGGTGACAGTGGAAGGCACTGTGGCAGGCAAGCGCTCTGGGGCTGCGGAGCTCGCTGTGCCCGATGTACCAGGTGGAAAAGGCGCTGTGCCTAGCCCCGGCCTGCCCCTTTGCACTGACACAGGATGTGCCGCTGCATCCTAGGATTCTGAAGGACTTCAATTTGGACGGACTAGCTGGAGAGAGTGACCATACTTTAATGGAACAGGAGTAAAATTAAGCAGATTAGAGATAATCCTGCCCTGCAGTGGCATAACTTTAAGCTGAATAATGAGCAGTTTAAGACACTTCAATATGTTAATGTGCAGCCAATCCAGGGGTTAAGAGTTGCAGAATCACCTAAATTTACAGCGTAGCAAGGCCCTTAGGGCGTTTTTACAGGTGCTCTGGGAGTGTGTGTGTGTCG